TGTGCTCTTCCGATCTCTTACAAATTATTTAATACATAGATTAATAAATATATGTAAAATTAATAGATTCTTAAAACCTACACTTTCTTTTATAGTTCATTTTTTCAAAGTATTATTGCGCAAATTCAAAGGACCAGATCTGAAATATAAATACATAAAAAACATTTCACAATTTTTACGACCGCTAACAAATTATTGATACAATTGAACAATAACCGTTACATAAACTAACTGTAAAAGGAAGTGTATGTTTAACAATCTATTTATTTTGTGACGATACGCCCCCGCCTCGTCACCACAAGGGGCCGACCAGCCGCCCCTGGCGCTCAGCGCCACAACTCCGACTAACACGCGCGCCGAGCGTGTTACGGGAGAGCGACCCCTCTCCGCAGCCCCCGCCGAAGCCCATCGGCGGGGGTATATAAGCCGCCGCCGCGGAGCGACGGCTACCAGTCCGGTCCCGACTCCTGTCGAGACCGTTCATCCTGCGAAGAGATCAGGGCGCCTGACTTCTTCACGATCTCCTGCATTCAGCGAAGAGAGCCAAGGCGCCTGGCTTCTTCGCCTTCCGCCCGATCAGGGCACCCCGTTGGCACCAACACCGTACGCACAGAGAAGGCCAGGGCGCCTGGCTTCTCCTCTCTGTTGGGCCAGGGCGCCTGGCCGACATAGACCAGCTACCGATCTCGCTGCGCCTAAGTGCCACACGGCAACCGACCATCGCGGACATCCGCGCCGCTCCACCGTTACCGACCGAACCGCTCGGAGCACCGGATCTACCGCCGACTGGTCCCGCCGACTTACCGACCGTCTTTCTGACCCTCGGTAAAGTAGAGACCCTCTAATAAGAGTCTGGCCAAGCGGCATATCATTTTGGAGTGTTTTGATTGGTCCGCCATGTTTTTCCTAATCTAAGAGGGGATAGCTTCAGCGCAAGCGTATGAGATTATGATTAGCGTACAAGACTTCTCTAACCTCAAAAATATTTATGAAACAGCGAAAAAATATTCAAATATTCATGCAAATTTAATTTTTTAAATATTTTTATTAATACAAATATTTTTAAATATATTGATGAACAATATATAATGTACGAAATGTAATACATATAAAATATAATACGTAACGAAATACATAAATATAATATACGTAACGAAATATAATACGTAAATAATAATGAAAAAATAAATGCAAAGTGAAATATTTTTTACTATTTCATAAACAAGGAGCTAAATAAAATTTTTGTTTTACTTTATTGCACTATGCATTGCCATAGACTTACTATCATAATACTTACGTTTATTACCCCCTTTTTTGTTTGCTATTCTCATTCTATAAATCGCGTATCTATTTGCTATTTTTGTTTTTATATTGTGACATTGCAAAATATGATTACTGTTATTTAAAATACTTAAAAATTGAGAAATCAAAAAATTTTTATAATTGCGATTATTAGAATATGTAGAATTTTGATATTTTCTAAATGTATACTCCAGTTTTTTAAACAATTCAAAAGTTTCATTGTTTACAAAAAATAATGTTTCATTTTTATAACATCGTAGTCGCACTAATTTCGCATGTTGTGACAAATTTAAATGTGTGGAGCCTAAACTTTGAATACAGTTCTTACAAACTTTTGTATTTTTTTTTATGCTTGTTACAATGTATCCAGCGATACTATATAAAATATTACTTTCCGTATGGTTTAATTCTTGTACTTCCTGAGCTGTAGGTACACAGGACAAATCAGCGTTTGACTCACAAAACTCAGATAATTCTTGTACTTCCTGAGAGGTAGGTACACAGGACAAATCAACGTTTGACTCACAAAACTCAGATAATTCTTGTACTTTCTGAGAGGTAGATACACAGGACAAATCAGCGTTTGACTCACAAAACTTAGATTTATGTTCGGCAATTACATCTAAGAAACCTGTTAGATATTGTGCATCATCTTCTTCATAATTACTTCGAGAAACAGAACGCATGTACAAAGAAACGGCAATTAATTTAAGATTATTTTTAAACTGTAAAGCATTTAATATAACATTTTTGCTTCGAAGAACAGAGAAAAGGTTCTCTACACAATCCTGTGTAAGTCTACCTGTGAGTAAGAATTGAAATTCCCTTTCACGAAAGAGATAATCAGCCAATTCTAAAATAGATTTAGTTGAAATAATTACTCCTCTCTGAACAGGTTTAAAAAATCCCTTTTTACCAATACGAAGATTAGAAAATATTTCTATAACTTCATTTAAAAATGAAACAGTATCTTTATATTTCGCCAAGTCCTTTGTACCCAAAGAAATGCTGCAGTGCCTTGAAGTCATAACCGAAAACCATTTTACTATTATTTTGACAAAAAATGCTGTAGTAATGTATTCTGGTTTTGAATTTTCATCAGCTAAAAACTCAAAAGCAGTGCTCACTTCATGACTCAAAAAATTTTTCGCTTTATTGACACGCATCTTATCAAACGTATTATTATTCGTATCGATATCGTTTATACTTAATTTTGGCGTTAATAAAAATTGAAATTCTTTTTGCGCTAAAATTAATTCTTCGAAGTGTCTTGCTCGTACCATATTTGTTGGCAAATTATATTTACGTACAATATTTTCAGGTAATGCAAGGAACTTATTATTTAAAATACACGATTTTAAATTTTTTAATAAGTGGGGCACATCCGCAATTACATACAAATTACGATTCGGATCACATGGATGTGTTATGTGATTTACAATTCTGCTATGTTTTCCAGCCGTAATCCCAAATACTTTCCATAAAGCCTGATTGCCGGATCCCATATCGGAAGTAATGGAATTTACACGAAGACCAATTAATTTAGCCCTATGAAGTATATCAATTATTATTGGTTTTAATGCAGCTCCATTAAATCCATCACTCGTAAAATAATAGCCAATAATTTGTTTCCAACGACATGCAATACCGCATAACATAAATACCATAGCATGTGACGCTATACCTGTATGTTCTGGAAAAGTTACATCACCAATGTAGCTTTGAGAAGAATTATCAAAATTCTTCCCTGATGAAATGCTGATTTCATCATATACCAAACAACATTCTTTATCGATTTCATTTCAATTCGATACCTTCAATTTTAAAAAATTGAAAATATCGTCCGAAATTCCGCTCTCAAATTTAAGATTTTCTACTTTTCTTCTTAACGTTCGAAGCGCTGGTAAAGGAAATTCCTGCCGACGGAGTTCTTCGTAACCAGTGATGCCACAAGAAAACCTTAGTTGAAGTGCTTTTAAAATCGATTCGTTGTTCCACTCTGCTTTTCTTTTATTCTTCAAAATTGCAATTTGATTGGCAGTGAAGATTTGTCCTATTTTGTTTAACATAGCTGCATTTGATCTATTAATTTTATTATTTTCCAATTTTAACGCCTTTAAATCACGTCGTGCAATAAACAGACAGTTCTTAAATTTTTGTAATTTGACACTCTGCTTTTTAATTAAACGTGATTGTTCACATATAATTTGTGTCTGTTTTTTTATTGTACATGACAGGTTTTTTAATTTCTTATGGTCCTTTTTACTTTCAAGTTGCTGTTCATTCTCGCAATCATTTTCTTTTTCATTTCGGACTGATAGATCAGCTTGTTCGACTTGAATTGTAACACAATCCATCTCGTCATTCGGTGAAGCTGATGTTTCTTGATTTTTTTTGTTTTCATAGTAACTTTTCTGAAATCAAATATTTAAGATTTACCATTATTAATTTACAATTTTTAAATAGACTTATAATGATTTTACACAAATTCGCAACTGCTTTTCTTGTATTTTAATCTTTAGAACTTACGATCGCTTTAGCTTCATTTCTCCAAATCCAAATATTGTTGGCACAGCATTTACTTTAAGTTTTCTTTTTCCGTCAACTCGCTTATTTTCCCACATATCGTGTGTAAAATGTACCTGTAATAATAGATAATAATTGGGAAATGATTGAGATATAAAAATCATAAACTTTAAATATAAACAGTTGCTATAAATGATCTGCTACAGTTTTTTAACGACTAGGCATAAATATATTGTTTATATGTCAATTTACGAAAAAGATTCTTGTATCTAATAAATATAAATTAAACATAATTGTATAAATAATCCTAAACATACTTCACACAGAAATGATGTATTTGTAGGTGTCCATCCTTTTCTGCCAACATTTGCTATCCATTGGGCACGTCGAACTGGATCTCGGGGGAAAATTTTCATTATAAATCCTTTTTCATCAGAATTTGTACAGTTAGGAGCTGTACAACCAGGCATGTTGCTGAAAT